AAATTTGGAAAAATATTATTATTTTTTATTTTACTAAGTTAAGCATATTTTATTTTAAACATTTCAATAGGATTATTTCATTTCCTTTAAAAATAATATAAAATTTAAAATTTAAAATGGTGTATAATAATTTTTATACATGTAAAATCACATAAAAATCGATTGGTAGGAGATGTAAAATTTATGGTACATTTTACAACATGTATAATAATAATAATATTAAAACAAGAAATTTAATGGAGGAAACGTTTTTAAAAAGAAATTTCTAAAAAAGAAAAAGAAAAAAAGAATCTTATGAAAAGATATAGAAAACAATTAGTCCGCTTCCGCGCTATATCAAAGGCTAAACAAAATAAGTTTATTTTAATTTGATAGCATGTATTATACTATCGTCAATCAACTAAAATATGTATAATTAAAAATAAAAGAAAATTTTCTTCTAATATTATAAATTTTAATTATTTTACTCTTAATTTATTCTTTTTTATGTTTTTTCATAAATTTTGTAATTAAAAAAACACGGTCTATTCTTCCTTTTACATTTGTTCTTAAATAAAAATCTATAATAATTTAAATAAAAAATTTAAAAATTTCTTAATAAATTTTTTACAAGATTGCATCGAATAAATGAAACGATAATTGATATAAAAAATTATATAAAATCCAAAAAATGAATTTTTTATTATTTTTTAATGTTGATGAGAAGACTAACTTTAAAAAAAATATTTATATTTGATTTATATATATTTATTTATAAAATAATCAATAATATTAGTATAAAAAATTATAATTGAATCATTAGGTGGTTCTTCTAAAATATTATTTAACTCATTTTATTTGAAAGAAAGAAATTTTATTTTAAAAAAAATGATAACAAATTGTAATTTTTTATACTAATATTATGGTTAGCATTATGTGTGTAGATATATAGTTAATTAATTCTTAATAAAATCAATGATCTTAAATTATTATATATATATATATATATATATATATATATATATATATATAGACCATACTTAGTGGGTCAGAGTGTACATTATAAATTAAAAATATTTAAAAATTGCTTAATTTGTAAGAAATATATTGAAGTTAATATACTGCAATAAAAACAATCATAAAATTGATTTAAATATTTTTTTATTGTATGAGAAATAAGCAAATAAAACACACAAATTTTATTTTTAATTGATAATTTATTTAAAAAATAATTCAAAAATTAATATATAGAGAAAAATAAATTATATTTATTAAAAAATAAAAATACATAAAAAAGAAGAATAAAAAATAAATTTAAAAAGAATTTTTATAAGAAATGACAAATTGAAGAGATCAGTTTTAAATAATAAAAAGAATATATATATTTTAATGAAAAAATATAAAAAATAATAATTGGTTTTTTTATAATTTTTCACTCAATTCAATTGAAAAAATAAATGCAGAAAAAAAAAGGCAACCCTGGTCCATCTAGCGACCAAAATAATATATAATATAAAATTTATCCATAAATGTTCAAAAACAGTAAAAAATTATAAAAATATCATCTTTTAAATTTTTTTAAAAATATCATAAAATAAATAGTGATTTGTGAGAGAATAAATAGTTAAAATCTCTAACCATTTAGTTCTACCCTTTTAGTTGTTGTTTTTCTTAATATGTGTTTAAAGTTGATCCTATAGGTGTTTGGACTGCAGTGTAGGCCCATACATTTGAAACAGAAAAATACATGGATGACACGTCGTCTTCTCCTTGTTAAAGTAGGATTTCGACAGATCATGCCGTAATTCCACAAAAAATTGATTGTAAAATATAAAATCTACAGTTTCATATCATTTTCGACTCAAAAACACTTCCGACAAATCAGGCTGTAGTCCGATAAAAATTGGTTGCAAAATATAAAATCCACAATTTCATATCATTTTCGATTAAAAAGCACTTATAAACACTCTCATTATTCTTATAAACATAAATCTAATATCAAAAACCATTTTTAAAGAACAAATCAATACAAAACTCGATTTAAAAATTTCTAAATCTAAAAATTTAAGTACACATATATTTTATTTTTCGCCGTTAAGTTGTAAAATTTTAATTTCTATAGATTTATAATGACAGTGACTTTTGTTTGCTGGTGGTATATGTAAACAATAATATCCGTATTATATCCCCATAAATTTTTTCCCTCTCTTTTTATTTCCCTTTTTTTTTTTTTAGGCAAATCCTATGTTAAAAAATAATTCATCCAAATCAGCGGATAAAATTAGTAAGTATTGGATATAACTTGGAAATTTAAAAGTTTATAGTAGTAGATTAGGAATAAAATTTTATAATATTTTCAATCTCCGTCTTCATTTCGTCTATCACCTAAAAAAGAATACAAAAATTTTACCCATTTTTATCCCATGAACGCAGTTAAAAACTTATTTTGGCTTCGTCTTTGCAAATAGAGCATGATGTTTTTGGCTCTATGCATGTACTTTGTTTTCTGCAAGTCTTTCCAAACCAAACTTTATAGAGAGGCCAGCAATCCTCACATTTCGTAAAACACGTACATGTCAAAATCAGTGCCATACTGCTTCTGTGATGTTTTTCTTTTCCCTGGCTCTTCACATGCTTTGCTCAGATATTAGATTGTGGGAGCTGGGTCATTGTGTGGACAAGACACAGGCCAAACTAACAATGAACATGAAACTTAGAATGCAAATGCCACAGGAAGAGCCTAGCTGGGAAATAACCATTGGCTCTTTCCTGTTTGGTCACTGTAAAGCCAATTTGGAAATATTAATTAATAATTCTAAATGCTAAAATTTTCCCGCGTGCACGCAAAATCAAAACATTCATTGAATGGTGATGCACAGCTCATGTGAGATGACGCCGGCATTTAATAGATGCACAGCTCTTGTTCTTCGAAAAAGCTCATATTCTTCAAGAAGCAGAAAATGCTGTCGTAGACTGCTTTCAGTACAGTTTTCACGCATGATTAATGAGTAAATTATAAACTAGTCACTTTAGTTTTATAAAAGAATCAAATAGTCCCTTTAATTTTCAATAACTAATTAATTAGTTTCTATATTTTTAAATCTATTTATAACCTAAACATTTTCATTCCTTTTCAATTTATTTTCATCTTTTATTTTTTTTATTTTATTAATAGCAAAAAATTTAGAAAAATTGATGTGAGAAAAAACATTTTTTGAAACAAAATAATATTAAATTAACCATTACTAACACTAGTTAAAATACTAAATACTTCTAAATAGTTTTTAAAACAAGAAAGACTATTTAATTTTTTTAAAAAAAACTAAAAGGATTAATTTATAATTTACTGCATGATTAATTTGTTTTTGATACACGATAAAGGTTTTCACATTTGTCTTCCTAGCTACAAAACCACATGTGAGGCTAGCAGTCAATATCGTTTTTCTTCTGCCCAACTTGAATTAAGATGACTGCTATAGTTACTTCAAATATTAATGGTTACTTCATTTTTTTTTATACATGTATAAATAAATAAACTGTCTTCGTTCACGTAATCCAGTTAAAACTTAAAAGAAAAAACCTTGAATTAGGGCCTGATAACTGGGTCCTAGGATCTGCAAGATTCTTAATTGCCAGGCACGGAATAGTGATTTCTGGGGACCATGACAGCCATTAAGCAGCTCAACAATTCTTGATTGGAATGGGGCACTGCGAAGGTGTGGCTCCTTCTAACATATATCTAACCATACTACTGTCTTGTCAAATGAAAATGGTCAGTCCCCTAGCCTGAACGTTTTCTAGGTCATCCTTCTGGATTAGTTCTTGCTGGATATGTGGATCGGATAGAAATGCCATCATTGTAATTATCTTTTGAGCAGTACCACTAGGGTATGAAGGTGGTTCTCGGTGTCAGTGGATCAGGTCAAAAGAAGCTTGCCTTTTCGAAAAAATAGTTTAATTACTACCGGGTGCCCTGGTCATTTATATGGAAAAAAAAACCCCGAAGGCATATTACTCCATGATGCTGCCAAGGAATAAAAAAATATCATTCACTAACTGCAATGAAGAAAAGTTCACGAGGCCCAAAGATTCTGGATCATAAATAGAAATTTTCAAGTAGCAGGTGTCATAGGCTCGCAAGATCAAGAGATGGCTTCAAAAAACTATGCAATCGAATCAAATCATAGCTGATTGCCCCAAAATGTTAGAACAAGTTGATCAGAACGCATCTGTTTGACATGAAGTTGGCATTATATAATCGAGTTCGGTAAAGAGTCGTGGTTGAATATTTAGGATTAGAATAAGCATATATTCTTGATTTCTTTTAGTTGTTAATATACATTTTTAATTTGCTTGATTTAACACCGGAAGAATCATTACCAAAAAAAAAAACAACAACAACAAATACATATTTTCTAAAATCAAATTTCCATCCATGCGTAAATAAAATGTAAAATATTTCTGAAATCGAACTTTAATCGATTTTGAATAACATACGTAATATAATATGTAAAGTGTCAAATAGTTTGATTTCTCAGATTGAATTTTCACAAAAATAAAACCAAATTAAATTAAAAAACATCTTGATAATAAATGAACCCTCTTAAGTCATAATCCCGAACCAATGTATGGAACTTTTAGTAAGTTCTACATTTAATTTATACTAGGTAACCAAAGAAATGATAACGATAGAGTACTCCAAAATGTGGAATAACAATGGTGTAACAACCCTTTTATTACTTTCAACCGTACAGAGAGAGACATTATCCGTTTCATCAATCAAAACAAAAGAAGAGACAAGGGAAGAAAGAAAAGAGAAAGCTGTTCTGTTTTCACACCTTAATATGGACTATCATCAATGGATAGCAAGAATTTATCAAATATTGATACTTTCGAGTAACGAATTCTTTTTATCCCGACTCAAGGACTATATGCCTGTATTTTTGGTGGAGAAGAATATGCTACTACTGCTTGATTACTAGAAACGGGACATTTCAACACCCGTCCTGCCACAAGAGAATTTAAGACTTGATTACACCTAGAACTGAGGCTTGAAGTGACACCGAATGTTCAAGATCACCAATATGAAGACTGTGTTCTCCCAATGGAATTCTTCGAATTCCAGATCTGTCCACAACGCTCAGGAATTTGCATACATGAATGTTAAATCCCACTCTTTGCTGAGTCCCTGCTGCAACATGCACTTTTTCGAAGGCCACTACCTGTTTGTGAGGAGCCCAATGCCCTGCTGGTGGTTTAGAGTAGACTATCAACGTGTGAGTTCCATCCATCGAGCCAATGTTTTTCACATCCACTTGCACTCCTAACGAGAGTCTGTTACACCTAGCATGTGTAACTTTGATTGCCTTCCCTGAAAGAGTTGCATTCCCGGAGCCATGGCGGTGGCCATCAAGGGGTACCGAAAACATTGTCGGTGCACTTGCTATGGTATGGACAAAATTTGTGTAGCTTATTCCGTGACCAAATGGATAAACCACTTTACCTTTGTAGAATCTATAGGTTCTTCCAGGATATCCCTTTGATTTGCTTGATCGCATGGCCATGTCTGTCATCGGCAGATTTGTGACATAATCTTGTGGATACCATGTCATAGGTAGCTTGCCTCCTGAAAAAAAAAAAATCCCTGTTACCTTCCCGATGACCAATATAACATCAGCAAAAGTACTGCTCGTAAAACAAAACCTGGGTTAGTAGTTCCAAACAAGACATCAGAAATGGCTGCTCCTCCAGCTTGGCCAGGATAGCCGGCCCATACGATGCTGCCAACTTTTGGATCATTCTCAGCGAAAGACACATCAATGGGCCCTCCAGACATCAAGACCAATATAGTTGGGCCCTTCGAGGCTGCGGCAACCTTGGATACAAGCTCTTGTTGGCGTCCAGGTAGAAGAAGCCCAGTCCTATCTCTGAATTCTGCCTCGATAGACTGGTCAAGCCCCATTACTAGAACTGTTGCATCCGCTTGACGTGCTGCGTCAATTGCTGCACCAAATTGCTGGTCATCGACACAGGCAACATCTACACAACCTTGGCTGTAAATTGTCTTGGCATATCTCTCTATCCCTTGTAGGGGTGTTGTGTATCCACAAGCAACACCTAGTAATCCACCATGAGTGAAAGCGTTAATGATCAATGTATGTAGATAGTTTAGATAAACTCTCTCAACTAGCCTCCATAACACTTACCTGCATAATTTCCAATCATGGTATCTGTGACATTCGAATTAGGCCCAATAATGGCAACGGAGTGATGACGGCGAGTCGATAAAGGCAATGAAAGGCCATGATTCTTGAGAAGAACAATGCCTTGTCTTGCAGCTTCAAGGGCAAGCTCTTGGTGAGCTGGGGTGCACACATCTTTTGGGCCTAGGTTCTGATATAGCTCAGATGATGGCTCACCATCGAACATTCCTAGCCTCATCTGGACAGTTAGTGTATTAAGCAGTGCATTATTTATTTCAGCCTCATTTAACAAGCCTTTTTTTACTGCATCCTCAGTGTGTTGACCCAGGAATGGTCCACAGTCCAAATCTAAACCTGCAAGAAATTAAAATCGATTTGTTACTATTATTTTATTTTTATCTGAACATTGGTGATTAGTGCAACCTAATCTTTACACATTACCATTAATTAATCTAAGCCCATTTAACAGATCTTAGTAAGTCCAACATATTTTCTTTGACGAAAGGTGATGTTTTTTTTTATATAAAAAAAAATATTGGACTTAAGTAACAAAATAAAGGCTACTGGCCTGCTTTAATAGCATCAGCAGCTGCTTCTTCTGGGGTTGAAGTATAGTGTTGCTGACTATAATAGACCCCAACTGAGTCACAGTCTGAAACAATGTACCTGCGGATGATAATTGGAAACAGCATTAATTGAAAGAGTTAATTATATATTATATTATCCTGTGATTAAAATCATTAACATAAAAGAAAACACCAGCATCATCCCATTTGAATTTGATCATACCCATCAAGTCTCCACTGACCACGTACGGTCTTCTTTAGCAGATTTGGGTCAGCACAAGTGGGGATCCCATTCACCTGGTTGTAAGAGCACATAACACTTGCCACCTTGCCTTCCTTCACACACATCCTGAATGGTACATCAAATGTATCCTCCATGTCCTGCTTGCTTACCTGCTCATCAACCCTACGTTAGATGAAGAAAGGCAGCATATAGCTCGTGATCAGCAATAAGAATTACTGGCAATTTTGTGGATTTTTCTTTCATGTTATGTTTGGATTAGGTAGAAGAAAGTTGTGCACAAACCAAAGCAAAGATCGGGACGATAATAATGATACGTGCGGCATAAACAAAGACAAACTGAAAAGTTGAAATTACTTTTCTTGCTTCCGGCTTTGGTTGACTTCTTCCGATTTTTTCTTCCATGTTATCATCAGCAAAAGCGAATACTTTCGGAAAGAGTACAAGACACTGAATATTGGGAAAATCAATGACTATAATTAAGGTCTGATTTGCAGCCTTGCAGCTGGTGCTGACCGTTTTTGTTCAAGAATATTCTAATCAAATTTATTTAATATGCTATAGTATTCAACTAGTTTTTTTACTTATACTATATCATTTTAATCATACTATTAATCGAAAAAAATATATATTTCAATTTACACTCTGTGTTATCTTATATATCTATTAAAATATACTAAATTAAAATTAAATAAAAATTTATTTAAATTTTGTAATCAAAATTTTGAATTTCAATTATCATTTTTCATAAATTTTCAATTAAAAAATAATTATTATTTATCTTTTTTTCATATTTTTAAATAAAAAAATTATAATAATGTAAGAAAAAAATATCAAAATCAATGAATTCTTAATTAAAAACATATTTTATAAATTTTTTAAAATATTTTTTTCTTCAAATTTTTAATTAAAAAATAAAAAAATTAAATTGACCAAAATGAAATAAAAAAATTTACAAATAAAAAAATAATATTTTTTTAAAAAATGACTAAAGCGTAGTATCAAGAAAACTTTCACAATTAATATTTTTAGAAAATTTAAAAACTACAAAAATACTATTGTATAATAAAAATAATAATATATGTGAGTCTTGATAAATAATACAAATAAATTTAGATAAACAATATTTCAAATATTACATGAATAATAAATAATTATTTTGTTTTAATTTTTTTTTAATTATTCTAGCCCATAAAATAACATGAAAACCAAAACTTTACCTTCCGCTCTCCAAAAAAAAAAAAAAAAAAAGTGAGGGAGCCCGTCTCACCTTCGACTTGGAGCCCTATTTTGCAACCTTAATAACCAAAATTAAAATTACTGGAGGCATGGGATATTTTGTTGCTTGATAAGGGAATTATTTCATGTCCAAAATTTAGAAGCCAAGCGAAAAAATCTATTGGCTATCGTCCTAAGTGACAGATGTATAATCTAATTTTCATCAGAAATTTTTTTTTTGAAAATCATTTTTCCAAGCATCTCATAAATCACATCACGTACGTGTAAAGTCCAGTGATGCAGAGCAGCAGAACATACATTCATCAAAAACATTATTTACTCTACCTTAGCGTTAAAGTGGAACCGATCAACCCCATTCCAGTTGTCGAGGTCATAGGCTGTGAAGTGCTTACAACAAGCAGCAACCTTTAACCGGTCACCATCATTTCCCTGTAAACCTCTAACGTAGCTTGCAGCATATTTACCAACTACAACAGGGTCTTCCCCGGGAGTCTCCTGTCCACGACCCCACCTTGGGTCTCTGAAAATGTTCACGTTTGGGCTCCAATATGTGAGCCCAGCTACCCCTCCATTGAACATTGCTCTTGCCTCATCTGACACAACCTGCACAGTACCCAGGTTTGATTTTATTTTAGAAAATTTTTACAGTAATATATTTGTCTGTGTTAAAAAAAAGTTTGCAACTTGCCCGACATTATATGCAAGTTGTAGGATTAATCAACCAATTGTGCAACTCTTGTTTGAAAATTAAATTCTTATCCATTTGAGTGTCTATCTTTCTTTCTTTTTGTCCTACTAGTTAAAGTAAAAGGTTCGGTTTGGTGTAAGAAAAACATTGATATATTCGCCTTGTCTGTCCCGTCCCATACACATTTTGTAAAGAATGACTTGCAAACCATGATAAATGTAGATTAGTAATATTTAATTAACTAAAGTGATGATAAGGATATTTTGTTACTACTTTCTTTATGAAAGATATTAAAAATTAGATATCTTTGTTTTTTCTTTTCTCTTTAATGTCCTAATAACAAGTAACAAGTATGTAATAAAAAGAGGCCGTTACATCATTGAATTTTTTAAGGAATTTTTGTTTACTTATTACTTTGTACGTAATATAACATAACACCAGCAGCAACTGCTTTTCTGAATTTCCTATGTATGAGTACTACAAAGTTAAGTGTTATTTTTTATTTCATTAATTATTACTTATTAATGTATGGATGTACACACACACGTGTGGAATAAATTATAAATTAGTCCATCTAGTTTTGAAAAATAAATTAATTAGTTCTTTATGTTTATTTAATGTTTTTTTATAATTTGTTTTATTTTTAATTTTTAAAAAAGAAAAAAAATTGATATCATGAAAAGATTGATGATAAAAAAAATATTTTTTGAAATAAAATAATATTAAATTAAATATGGTAATAATTAATTAAGAATTATTAAGAATAAGAATGATTGATTAATTTGTTTATCAGAAGTAAAGAGAATGATTTACAATTCAGTCCATATGTGATATGGAACAAACTCACTGTTATATCCAGCTCGCATGCATGTACAAAGCAAAAAGTTAAGAACGCCATGACAAAAAGAACACAAAAGGTTCTCAAATGGATAGAATTCCTGGCATGACTTTAATTAATCCATTTAATTAACTTTAATATGTAGTCTAATTAGTGAGTAATTTAACAAAATCAAGGTTAAAAAATCTCACCCGTCCAATAGCCTCCCACAGAGTTGCATTGAAAGAAGCTGCGGCAGTGATGACTTGAGGGAAGCTAGTGGCCCCAGGGAAGGCCCCACCAAACTTAGTCCCTGGACCCACATTGGAAACTCCATGAAGAGCCTCAGACCACCACTCATACCCTTTAATCCCCAGCCGTGGAACTGCCGCTGCATTGTTCACCAGCAGCCCAACCTTCTCTCGCAATGTCATCCTACCAATAAGGTCATTCACTCTATTTTGTATTGGCAACTTCGCTTGGCAAAACGGCAAATTTCTGTTAGTTTCATCTTTTGGGTCACAAGCAAACGCGTCCAGGGCTTTGCTGGTTTGCAAAGAAACCCCTAAGAGAAGAACCATGAGAATAATAATGTGGGATGTGCGGAAGGTGGTGGTGGTGTCCATTGTAGTAAGAAATGGAAATGTTTTTGAATGGGGATGGAGAACAAGGGAGGCGAATATGTAGAGTATATATAGGTGAGGTGAAGTACAAGTTCGGGACCATATTGTTCTTTTTAACTGTTCAAAGAATGAGTAATGCTTTTTCTCGTTTTGGTGGTGGGATGGGATAAGGTGGTTGCTAGTACAAACCATAAGTGAATTTACCTGCCATTTTGAAGCTTGGGGTGGGGTCATTTACGAGAGATTACACGTGGCATGTTTGTATTGGTGGTTCGGAATCCAAGGAAAGGTAGGTCCAAAATATGAGGCATTTTTTGGATGATCAGGTGGGAGTTAGATCATCCAATTAGACCTTTAAGCCAGTAATAATATTTCTTCGGATTTGCGTACGTGAAAATTTTCTTTCCGTGGTTGGCAAGCACAATACCTACGGAGGGAAAATTATTGGTGTGTTTGGTATAATGGATTTTTAACTTTCGAGTGTTTTTACAAATATTTTCAAAGCGTTTATGAGATGAATAGATATGAACTTGAAGTATTTTTTGTGCTTTTAAACGACTTTTATATGGAAACATCAAAACAATCAAATAAATCAACTTGAAATTTCTCAACCAAAAAATCACTTTAACAAAGACACCGCAGACGCATTACAAACAGACAGTATATGGAAATGAGTCCAGTCGAAATCAGTGGTCTTGACATCTTGAATAAGGCTGTCCTGGTGGACGGATGAACAAATATTGTCAGTCAGTTGCAACTTGCTAGTAGCTCTAGCTTCGTTTGAAAGCTAGCTCAGATTAACTCGAGATAATTGCAATATAAGTACATAGATTTTTAAATTCTTTTCAATTCAATGTATGAATTTTATTTTATTTCTTTTTAGTATATTAATTTTTTAAAAATTATCAATTAAGTGCTTCTATTAATTTTTCGTTAACTAATGATGTGTTTGTTATATTTAAAATACAAAATTATAATTTTATTTTTTTCTCAATTGAGCACATGAACTTTAAATATTTCTATTTGAATATATCTATTTTTTAAAACCATCAATCAAATACTTTCATTAATTTTTTCATCAATTAATGACATGTTCGAAAACAAAATTATAATTTTATCCCTTTTTATTGAAATAAAAATTTTTCTTAAATTATTTTACAATTTTAAAATTTGACACATAACTAAAAAAAATATCATTTGTTATCTATAAAATTCTATATTAAAATCAGTTAGGTTTAAGGTGAAAATTAAAAGAAAAAAAACACAAATAAATCTTCTCGATGAAAAATCTCACTTTTGTGTTCCCTTCAACTTTTATGCTCAAAACCTAACTTAAATTTTTTTTTTTTTAACAACAAGCCTTACTAAGTTTAGTTGGAGATTTTATAATTAAATATAATTTTTTTAATTCTTTGTCAAATTTTAAAATAATAGAATAATTCAAAGAGAAAGTTTCTTACAACAAAAAGAGAAAAAAAATAATTTGATATTTGGATGTTTCATCAATTACAAAAATACTTGATTAGTAATTTTGAATAAGTGGGTATATTCAATTTAAAAAAAATAAAATTAAAGTTCATGTATTTCATTGAGAAAAAAAGGTTAAATTTATAGTTTAGTATTCTTAAGATAATAAACACGTCATCTATTAATAAAAAAATTAACAAAAATACTTAATTGATAATTTCAAAAAGTTAATGCATTTAAACAAAAATAAAATAAAATTTATATACCTGAGAAAAGATTTATGTGCTTGTCGTGTAATTATTTCAGAAGCAAATATTGTCAGTGAGTTGCAGCTTGCCAGTAGCTCTAGCTTCGCTTGAAAGATAGGTCAAATTAACTCAGGAACTGATCAGCTTGACCCATCAAGGACGGTGAAATTCACATTATCATTACCAGATGGAACAAAAAAGCATTCCACTTTCTTTTCTTGATCCAAAATAATTTAAAGTATTCCTTTTTAAACCAACCGATTAGCCAAGAAGTAAAGCAACATTCTGTTCCAATAAACCGAGAACTAATTAACCATTAAACAATAATTTATTGTATGTTCTGCTTGGCTCGCTAAAGAAAATCTCTTCCCTACTAAATGCTGTTGGAAAGTATTCAATCCAGATAAAAGGTTGGAAATCTTAGAAAATCTAAGCACAGATTTCTATTGCTCATATTTTTAAACCATCAACGACTAAAAAACTATTTCACGTTTGAGCAATATACTGACACTATTGCATTGTTTTGTTTTAATCTTAATTAGCAATCTGATTTTTTTTTCAATTTTTCTCCCTTGATCGCAAACGATAAGTCCAATTGGGCGGTCGGGGCTATAAAGTAAGGTATCTATATAGAAAACGACTTGTAAATAATGTTATCTTTAGGATTGCATCATGGCTATTTGAAGTTTGCAAGAATATCGTGGAAATTGTCTTTATACGTGAGTGGTTCTATGAGAGAAAAAACCAGCCAGTACCCACTTGCTTGTTCTGCAATACATTAAAATGCATGCTTCCAGTCTCGGGAAGGTTGAAAATCCCACGATATATAAGCTGTATAGCAGAAGTTTGTCTCCTTTTATGTGCTTCCCCTTTCCCTTACCGTCTTTGTTAGTTTTTGGTAAAGTAATTATTATTAATTTTTGTGTCGAGACTGTTATAAATTTAATTAGGGTGTGAATTCTTAGATTTCTTTTATTTATTTGAGTCCTTTACTTATTTTTATTATTTGAATGTGTGGGAAAATTTTCGCCTCCGATTTTAAGAGGTAAGAAAATTATTTTTTTTTCAAAATTAATAATCTTACATACATAAGTATTGTTAAAAAAAAAGCCGATTTTACTGTGTAATTTTTTTTTATGTAGATATCTATATGTCAAATTTCTCAATATGTTTGTGTGTTCATACAAAGCATCTTCCAAAGATCTAGAAAAATTTCATATCTAATTTTGCTTTTCTATTTTTTATTTTCTAACGTAGTTAATTATGGTCCATACAAAATTATTTATTTTTATGCTTTTTATTCTTATTTTAATTTTAATTTTTTTTATAACTATTTCATCATTTTTATTTATAATTTTATTTAATTTGATCAAATATGGTTGACATAAGATTTTAAAGTGAAAATTTGTTAGAAGCACTCAATTGAAATTTTTTTAGTATTTTTTCTTTGCATTTCTCTTGTCCTTTTTTACACGTCATGTTGTCTCAATACCTATGATACATGTTTGATGAATATTGACTAGATCCAATTATGTAGAATAGATACTACTTTATACCCAATCTATTACTATCTTGACATCTTGAGACGTTAGAATTCTAAATCAAGTCTCAGATGCTTGATTCATCTTCAAATATATCTTCTTCTGTGTACTGCTGTGTGGGTGGGTGGAAGGTCTTTCGAGTCATGTCCTAATTTTCGAAATGAAGCGAAGGAAGATGCTACAAGAAAACAACAAGAAGATTGAATGGGGCGAGAGGTATGTATATAATGGCGTGGAGATTTGAATTCCATTTTCGTTAATAAATATGATAAATTTCCAATGCTTCGTGTAGGTAACACTAAAATATCTAATTTATATAAATAAAAAAATTAATAAAATTTTAAAGCCTATCTTATTAGGCATTAAAAAAAAAAAAGCATAATCTAATTCAACCATAGCATTATTTGTAATTAAAAAGGACTTTCTATGATTATCAAAAGAAAAAAATGTATTAAATTGAGTATTAATTTTTTTAAAAGAAAAAATGGAGATAGAAAAAAGGAATGTCTGATATATATATATATAGTGCCAATTTGTATAATTAAAAAATTATTTGTACATAAAACATTTTTATAAGAATTGTGTTTAAAAATAACACCTGTGCATTTAATTTAATTTTTAATCAAATACTAATTTATCTAATTTTGAATTTATCCACTGTAAAAAAATCATTTAAATATCCTACATGGCAGTATCAAAACCAAAATAAACTCTTAGAAAGTTTAGGGAAAAAAAACATAATTCTCTAAAGCTTATAAAAAAGCTTGAATACATTCATATTTATTTATTTAAATTCAAAATAATTATGACTTGGGAAACATATTACCTTTCCATATCAATGAACATATTTTTAAAATATGAGGTAACTAAATTTAGTATTTTTGCACTTATTTTCCATGTCATCCTTCCATTTAGGAACTGTTCAAAAAAAGTTAAATCGTTTTTCAGAGGGGAAAAACAACTTAAGATTAGAAAATTCACCATAATATAAAAAATATTAAATATGGATTTTTTTGGTACTAGGGTGAACTTGAGGATTTTGAATTTTTTCTTCCCTCCATTCTACTAATTTAATAAAACACGTGCATGATACATAAATTATTTTATGATTCCCTGTTTAGTCGAGATTGGAAGTAAGGAGTAGCAATGCACCATATGTTCTCGGATTATCTCATTCTCAGTCCCAACTATATACTAACTGCATTAATCATTCATAATCTGATTTTGTTTTTTGTTTTTCATCTTTATAGATAATGACATCCAAAAAGGACAAGGAAAAGCTACCAAAAATGTCCTAAAACTTCATCCAGCATTTCATCAATTTGTAGAATTGTTTCTTTGTGTACTAGTAATTACAAGTCCATAATATGAGCTATCTAAATCACGGAACAAACATAATTCACTGGCAATTATATATAATTTCTTTAATTAAGTTGGGGTGCTGCATTTGCTGCCCAGCTCACAGCCCATATTGGCGTACAGTGCATCAGGTGGACCTTAATTTGTTTGAGACGTCTTCATCCAAAATGTTTGTGTTTCATCATCTGTCTTTATACCAACCTACAAGAGTAATATATAAATAATAACTGAATCCTTTATAAACCTTGTCAATTTGCTAGCAACCACCGTTTTCCCCCAACGGAACCCACCTTCATCCAAAATGATGAATGCCTGGCTGCTTGTTTTATATGATCCTACGTGGCACCTACGATCGTCGTCATTTGTCTAGTTAAGAAAAACCTGAGATTTTTCTCAAAAGCAAACGAAAACCTGCAGATTTATGTATATGTACCGATATCTAGCAGGTGTTGAATTCGTACAATATGGGGGTAACCTTAATAGTCAATTCCACATAATTCAATTAATGCGCCAACAGCTAGAGAAAGGAGAGAGGTAGCGGTGGTTACGATGATAACGATGTGATAGGCCAATGACAAAGCTAATCATGAATCTAAGCTGTACCAGATGATGTGCCAAACAGAATCTTTTTAAAACATTAATGGTGGGGCTCTAACTATCGGATGAACACTCAAGGGAGGTTGAGAAAGAAAATGAAAAGGGTATCTATAGTAGCATGTACTTGGGGTCGAAATTGATGATAGGTTGGTCATATCACTACCAAATTTCAGTTCTCTTTTTATTGACATGAGTTTCTACAAACCAAGTAACACTATTGTTTTTATCTTGTCCATTTGGTCCAATTTTAGTTTTACCCATCAAAATGAAGTAAGAGAAGCCGTTCACAAATAAAAATGCCGATCCATCATTTTAGTTGTAAATTACTAGATAATTATCAGAATCTGTTACACTTATTATTTGAAACAAAATCATTAAAGTGCAAATGGGCCAAGAAATGCAGTACTTTTTCGCGTGTTTATTAAAACAAAAATCACCATATGCTTCCATTGCTTGCCTTTAGGATTTTCGTATTCCTCTTGTCTGGCACATATATGTGATAAACTTTTGAATTCGTATAGCTGTATTTCCTTTTGTTTTAAGATAAGGATAAATTCATCGAGTGATTCCTAAGTTTTGAAAATGAATCAAATCAATCTAGTACCAATCAAATCAATCTATGTACTACAGTACTAGTGTACTTCAATTTGGATCCGGCAACCTCTCACTTTCAATTCTCGGTCACATGCGGTCACTGATCTGCACAATACATGTTCTATCTACACCGTGTGGCCACATATACATATCTTAGTGGATTAAGGGATCATAAATTGAAAGTGTGAAGGTTGATATGTCTGAAGTTAAACTATAGAGGCTTACTTAACGAATTTACAAATATGAGGGACCACACTAAAATTAATCCCATAGGATACGTAGGGCACTCACCGAGTGAAATCATAAGAAATCCAATTTCATATAATGTGCTATTGCATTCCTTCGTCCTTCACCTATATACTGCTAGTTTGTCCTCCCTCGGATAGGCCACTTGTCACCGCTATTGTCCAGATTCTCTGAATGACCCTGTTTCTAGAAGTAGAGGGAACACAGGGATGTTCTAAATCAACATATGTTTGGCGTTTTGAATGTCTTGTACTATTCATGATTGCAAATTGCAATCCCCTTTCTGATCCTTGGCCATTCTCTTAAAGGACCCTCCGTAATTTTCCTTTTGCAGTGCAACATGGATGATTCATTAAAAAAACAAAAAAATTGATTTTTTAGTGCAAATAAATTTACAAGGTTTTAATGCATAAAGATTCACATGACACTGAGGGGCTTTGGATGCCAAGAACGAAAAAAACTTTGAAACTACAATGAAGGAACGGAACGAATAATACTAATTAAAATAGCATTTTAATTTTAATAGTATGTTTAGAATAGGAACTCAAAATTCAAATCAATGGTAAAATTTCAAAAAAAAAAAAAATCATGAAAGAGAAATATGATTGCAAATTTAATAACATAAATACTAAGGATAATGATATAGGATAATATTAACAGCAATCATGATAATCATCATCATCATAATTGTGATGACAATAATGGTGATACTAATAATGATAAAAATAGTTATTATAATGATTATAGTGATAGTAATAACTATAGAAGTGCATTAGAAATTGATAAAAAAATATATATATTTATTTCAAAATCAATAACTTAGATTTACCATAACCATCCCAAAAGATGTCCATCTATTCTTTTTTTTTTTTTTCCAAAATAAGAAGAAAGAAATAAAAAATTGAGAGGGAGGGGTGAATGGACCGTATTTTTCGGCCGTGAAGTCACCCAAAAACAAGCCCATATAAGTGATGGCCCGTTATTGTTGGCCGCAAAGCACCGAAAACAAGCCCATGTCACTGTTGAGTGTTGACCGTTCAAAATCCGTTTTAATTTATGTTGCTAACTTCTTATGACATTGACTGAATTGGGATCTAAATGTAAAATTAAAAATATAGTTTTTATTGTTCGAACATGAATTGGAATAGAATAAGGTCGAAATGCGTTTTTGAATGAAGATGATTAAAAAAGATGCGAAATAATGAATTTAGAAGTTGTTGGTAAATTCTAAGAACAAACGAGGTGGTTAAGAAAATTTAACCACTTAATAGATTTTATAAATTCGAATTTTAAAGCTAATATTAGAGAAATTTGTTTCCACAAACATATCAAGTCAATATAAAAAGTTACGTCCGTAAGATCATGAAAAAAAAATCTATTATTGATTGATTGATTGATGCATAAGTTAATTGGATGGTATTTTTTACCTTACATCAACAAAGAAATAAGTCGTTGTAAGCAAATAGCCCGATTTCCGGAGATGGTTCAGCACCCATTGCGAATGGCTCAAAAATGAAATTTTGAGAATCCAGCTCGGTATGAAATGGGCTAAAAATGAACTAAAAGTTTGGAGCCGACGGCCGAAATAGCCTGCGCACTACCCTGTGAGAGCAAGTTGCCACTTGCCAGTGCCGATATACCAGATTGGCCATTGCAAAATGACCGTTCTCCTGCCAAAGAACAATCAAGGAACTAGTTGCTGTTGAAAATGGAAACCAAACGTTGTTTTGTTGGCGTTTACAAATCAACAACATGCTGATTCAATACCCTTTTTTTTTCTTTTTCTTTTTTTCAAGAGAGAAATTTCATATGAGTTTTTTTCTTTTTCTTTTTTTAAATGAAATTTGATGAGTTGAATCATAGCATAACCTTTACAAGTATTCAAATTAAGTTCATCCAGTCTTTACTAATTTATTATTGGTGCTTGCTATTTGCCCACGCATGATTTGATGTTCATTAAAAAAAACAAAAAAACAAAAACAAAAAGAACACTACTTGTCCCTTGTTTTCATTTTTTTTAAAAAAGACAGATCCCTTGTGTCTGTAGACTGTACCTTCACATGATGGAGCAGATAGTTACATTCCAATGTATTCAATTCCCTTTTTTTTTTTTTTTTTTTGGTTGAACACCCATGTTGTATTCAATTCTATGCATGCATGCCCGTGTCATATTTTATGTACCTGTGAGGCCGTGACTTAAAGATGGCACGGACCGTCCAATTTTTACTCCTCCGTTACGATATCACATGACTACACAAATTACAAGACGTTAGTTAATGTAGTTATAGTTGAACCGTTCCTTTGACTTCCTCTACCAGTTTGGTAAAAAAACTTAAACAGACCAATTCCTTGACCCTACAGACAAGTCGAAGTCTAATAAAATCTACCAGGATTGGATCGAGCCAAACATATGTGTAACAGGTCAAACACTTGAACTAAACCTACTTCAAACACCAACAGCCAACTAGACCTAATCTTTTGTTTACTACCAAGTCCACCAGTGTATCGGTCACAAGATGGAGCGGTTTAACAAACACCTGATCTCACATTCCCCATACACGGCTCAATAAAATCCCTCAAAATTAACCCTCCTACCTAGCTAATCGACTTGCATGAAGTTTTTCTTCTTTTTTGAAATGGGAAATTACATTACATACCACAATTCATCAAATTCTGCCGGGAGAGTGATTCTATCGGATGGCAAGGTTTTTGAGTTCGACAAACCTCTCACGGTGGCTGAGCTAATGTTAGAGTACCCACAGCAAGTTGTGGTTGAGTTTCACTCGGATTTGACTAAAAAGAGGCCGACACCATTGCCTGCTGACAAGAAGCTAGACAAGAAGAAGGTGTACCTCATGCTGCCCTTGAAGCGAGGGAAACCAGCATCATTATCATCAGAGGAAGCAAGGCATGCTCTTTTGAGCGCAAACTCGGTTTTAAGATCAACGTCGTCTCTTTTATCATCATCAAAGTTTCTCCCTGTATTTGCTAGGTTATGCACTGCCGGAATTGGGGAGGAACAAAATTTTGTTATGCAAAAGAAGGAATGTTATGTGGAGGAGAAGCCAGCTATGGAGAAATATGATTCTGAGTTGGAAGAGATTTTTGAGAGTAGGCCCGAGTATTTGAGTAGGCAGCTTTCAGGTAAGAGAATGTGGAAGCCTAGCTTGGATACTATTAAGGAGAAAAAGGTAGAGAAAAAGGTCCCTCACTGGTTGTTTTGAAAGGTTAATTTAATTAATTTGGGTTATATACACCATCAATTTGTGATCTGTACTGTTTATGTGTTGATGTCAACTGATGCAGTGCAAGGAAGGAGTAATCAGATATGCATCTTTGAGTCTATTAGCTTAAAGAGAAGCAGAGTAAATTTATACCATCTTGTTAATTTAAGTTATGAAATTTTATGGTACTAAACTTTAACAATTACTTACCCTTTTTTTTTTTTTTTTCCTTTTTCCTGAATGATAATCACTCTACAAGCCTCCTATAAATTGATCCAAGATAAAACACACTAGAACCGATGAGGCACTGTACATATAAACAATACTAGCGAATATGTTAAAGGTAAGGGAATTTGGCTGGAAATGAGATGATTTTTTTAGTTCCAAGAGAGAGCCTGCAATGTCAATTACAGGGGGAGGATATTGAACACATTATGTTTTAGCAGTTATTAATAATTAAATTGGTTAAGCATGTTATTTTCACTCACCAACCTCTCACTTGAGAGAAGTCTTTCATTGTTTTTTGTATAATAATGCACGTAAATCTATGATCGGATATGGGGAAAAGGAGGAAATTAAGGTAACGTGACATACTTGTCAGGCAAAGCTAACATAAAATACTAACCATGCCACAGTGATGGCTGGTGACGAGTCAACAAACTGGTGATTGTTGGTTGTGTCATACAATAAATAAGCAAACGAATTGTAGTTCCTCAGTTTCAATCACGATTGAAAAGAAAAAAAATGAAAAAATGTACATAAAAAAATTAATTTAATTAAAACTAGAATTTTTTATTAATTCTAATAGTTAAAAATAAAAACAATTGAAAATATAATTTTACTCTTATTTTTATTATTTGTATTCCTGTTATAAATTGCTCATATATATGTATAGTAGTTAAAAAAAATGCTTTCAAGTAAAAAAAATTATTTAAGACAACTAACGGCTTCTTTATATCCAATTTCAACATATGATTTTTTTTTTTTGCCACGTATACAATCTTACAACCTTTAATTTTATTATTATTATTACTATTGCTATTATTTTGTATATCCTTGGTTTATTTTATCAAAACAAATTTAACTGATTTTTGTCAATATCTTTATATTGTGCTTCACCGACCATTATTTAAACTAACCATATTCGTCATATCTATTTTTTTGTTAATGCGATTTATTTGAATAGTTTTAAAGTCTTAACGTGTTGTTTAATTATTAGAAATGAAAGATTCGAAATAAGAATACAAGAATCGAAATGAAAAAATCAAAATGACATTTGTATTCTCGTATTGTGTTTGGAATACCGATGAGAATTTAGAATGCAATTTAAATTTTTTAATATCTGATTTTTTGTACAAATAAAGATAATGATTAAAAAAATAATTTTATCAAATTATAATAGTTGTAAAAACAATAAATGTGATGGTAATGGTTGTGATTATGGCGATGGTGGTAGTAATGGTAATGATTATGGTGATGGTGGTGATTGTAATTGTGGCATTGGTTGTTATGGTGGTGATGGTAAAAATAATCAATAGATAATAAATAAATAAATAAAATATATTATTATTTTGAAAAAAAATTCATTCTCAATCTTTATTTTTATTCTCACATCTTATATGAGAATGAAATTATATGTAAATTTTTATTTTCATTCTCACTCTTCATTCTCGTTCTCACTTCATTCCTTTTAACCAAACAACTTACAACGTGAGAATAAAACTTTCATTTTCATTTTCACAACTTTATTCTTGATTATTAAATAGCACGTCACAGAAATATGCATGGAAGAAGGAAAAAAAAATTAAACAGTAAAAAACAAGATAAATTGTAGGAAAAAAAGAAGGAATAATTCAAAGCAATCGAAGGCCGAGTGGAAAATTTCATCGATCGCTCCAATAAATTTCTTCACCTTTCTGCTGGACTCTTGAACGGTTGAACCTGTTGTGACCCAATTAAATGTTTTTTGGCCTAGATGTATTTGCTGCATATTTACATCAGAATGGTGGTTGTTCTGACTGAAAAAAAAAACATGCATTGAAACTTGAGGATTGAGTAGCTATATATAGCATATGATAACGCGGAAATTAAATTATATATATATATATATATATTATTTAGGCATCCAATGACAGGAAGTAGGTGAGCAATAAATAATGAGAGCTTTAAAAATTCTATTTTAATTCTGATATTTGTAAAAAAAAAAATTAACTAAGCAGTTGCAAAGAAAATCAAATTTCTCGTTAAAGAAAATTTTAGCCATAAAATAAGTTAGCTAACCATCCACGTTGTTTTATTTTTATTTTTATTTTTTCGTTTTGAAATCTTTCATTAGATAAAGTTCATGAAGGTAATCATAAAAAACAAAATAAAAGTTCATAATGGTTAACCGGCCAGGGCTCCAAGTACAATGGTTAATGGAACAGTGCGTTCCTTCGGTAATTATTGTTAAAAGTAGCGACGTGGTTTTGGTTAAGCCTTCTTATAAGATTTTTTTTTCTTTAAAAAAAAAATAGTACGTGTAGGCTGATCTCTTATACATCAACACGGACAACATCCATATGTTAATAAGATCAAAATTTATGATACTTTTGTAAATAAAGATATTGGACGTAAATATACTTTTATTAAGTATATCATTTCATTTAAAAGCTAGCAGTGACTTGTAAGTACATGTTATCCTGTATAAGTCAATTCCTTCGAGCACTATATAATAATTTTTTTTAGGAAGCTTTTATTTAAAGTTTGTGTTTTTGAAAAAAAAAAAAACCTTTTTTTTTTTTGGCGAGAGATAACAGACAAGTTATATCATATTTTTATAAGATTAATAAGTTCCATATTCAACTTTCTTAATAAGTTCATCGTTTATTATGTTTTCTATGATACCTTATGAATTCATTCAAAGCACTTGTAAATATATGTATATGTGTGTGTGTATATGACATGTTATTTAATTTATTTGATAAATTAACTTTTTGGTTTTAATTAAAAATATTATTATTCTCAATTGTTGTTAAGAAAAAATAAAACACTTGTGTATTGTGATGCAAATTTTATTTTCTCTATGATTCTGTTGAAAAATAAAAGGTTTAGGAAACCTTTAGATGCAAATTTTATTTTCTCTATTATTCTGTTGAAATATAAAATTTGTCTTCAAACCTATCAACAATTAAAATTAATTTTTATTATTTTATGTCATACTTATCCGCTCAAACATGCTCAACGAACCTAATTAAGCATTTTTTTAATTATTTATTGATCGGAATTGAACTGAAAAAAAAATCATAACCAAAACTTCTCAATATATTTTTATATATTCTACAAACAAAATGAAAAGGTAATAAAATTCCAAAATATGTATATATTATATATTTTGCATTATCGGTGGATATCCAATCTAAACGCTGAATTGATCTTGATTTTTAAATTCTCAATTAACAAATGATCTATCTTTTCAAAACGAAGTAGAAGCTTCCAAAATAAAAAACCGTTTCCCATTAGTTTTGCTAACAAAGGCTAATAGAAGGGCCTTGGTCATGAATGTATATAACACGTCATAAGAGTAATTGAAATAAAACGAACTCGTGGGAAGAAATTGATTGAAATAAAATATACCATAGGGGTAGAGTGATTTATTTATCCATATTTATCTCATCTACATAATCTGCAGTTACATACGATAAATTTTATAATATCTAACAAATAATTAATATAAATTATTTTGTAATAAAAGATAAATAGAAAAAAATTAAAAAAATAAATTTAACTCACCGTAAAAATCTTACTTCGTTGTATCCAATAGGCATCCAAATATGATTTTTTAAATATATATATCTTTTCTAGAAATAAAATGCTCATTACTAAGACTCTAAAAGACATGTGGCTTTGATCTGTTCATAATCCTATTTACCTTATATATATATGCGTTGTAATTCAACTACAATAAAACACTTACGAGTCCAAGTAGACAAGATAGTTGTCTTCCAAATAATAGACTAGGGTTTGACTCCCGATGGATGCATTTATACTTTGATTTAAATGCATCCGTCGAAAGTCGAACCTAAGTCTATTATTTGGAAATCAACTATCTTGATCGATAAGCACTTTATTGTACTTGAATTACAATATATGTATGGTGTACTTGAATTACAATATGTGTGTGTGTGTGTGAATCACAACCATATTTACCTCTTTTCACTTTTGTCCTTTTTTTTTTGTTTCAAGTTGTTGTTTTCTTTTTTACCCCTTTTGTTTTTTTCATTAAGTTAGGTTCTTTTTTTTATTAATTTTTTCATCCACTACTCACTTTTTTTTTTTTGTTTCGAGTACTAAGCACTTTTTTTTTCTTTCTTTCTTTTTTTTTTTTTCAAATTGTTGTGAATACATGTCTTTTGTTTTTCTCCTCCTTTGTTTTTTTCCATCAAGTTAGGTTTTTTTTTTTCAGAGTTATTTCATTTTAGTTTTTTAAATTTAAATCTACTAACTGACGCACTACTCATGTCTTTTCTTTTTTTTTTCATTAATTTTTTTCTTCATTAGATGTTAAAATTTTAAAAAATCAATCGTTACTTTTTTCCATACAAACTAACTATTATATAACATATACGATATTTTTTATATTTATATTATATGTTTTTTATTTTATTGTGATATATTTTTCTTTTTCTTTTTTTTTTTTTTTTTTTTTGTTTCGAGTTGTTTTACTATACATGCTTTTTTTTTCCTTTGCTTTTTTGCATAAATATTTTTTTAAAATTCTTAGGTTTCATATTGGTCTTTGAAATTTTAAAATAAAAAATTTAATCCCCTAACTCTTGCACTACTCACGTCTTTTTTTCCTTTACCTTTTTCTTTTACTTTTTTTCATCAATTTATATTCTTTTTTTTATTTAATTAAGTGTTAAAATTTTGAAAAATCAATCGTTGCTTTTTTCCATACAAACCGACAATTATATAACACTACTCCTCTCTTTTTTCCCTTTGTTTTTTTTTTTCTCATCAATTTATCTTCTTTTTTTTTATTTGATTAGGTGTTTAAATGTTTAAAAATCAATTGTCAGCTTTTTTCACATAAACCGATGATTGTGTAATATATACGATATTTTTTATATTTATAAGATATGTTTTTAG